TCCAAAATAGACGCTGCCCTGTATTTCTTTCTCTTGGCTAATTGCTCTGGCTAGGACTTCCAGTATTACGTTGAATGAAAGTGCTGAGACTGGACATCCTTGTCTTGTTCTAGTTCTTATATAAAAAACTTTCAGCTTTTCCCTCTTCAGTATGATATTAGCTGTGGTTTTGTCATATATGGCCCCTGTATTATGTTGAGGTACCTTTTCCTACACCTAATTTATTAAGAATATTTTTTATTATGAAGAAATATTTAATTTTATCAAATACTTTACTTGCCTTTACTGAGATGATCATATGGCATTTGTCCTTTATTGCGTTGATGAAATGTATCACATTTATTGATTCATACATGTTGAATCATTCTTGACTTTCTGGGATAAATCCCACCTGATCATGGTGTGTTATCATTTTGATATATTGTTGGAATCAGTTTCCTGGCATTTTGTCGAAGATGTTTCTATCTGTGTTCATCAGAGATATTGGTTTATAGTGGTTTTTTGTTGTTGTGTCCATGTCTAGCTTTGGTATCAAGGTTACACTGGTCTTGTGGAATGAGTTAGGGAGAGTTCCTTTCATTTCAAATTTTTGGAATAGTTTTAGAAGAACTGAAGTTATTTCTTCTTTAAAGGTTCAATAGAATTCAGTGATACTGGATTTTTTTGGGGGAAGAGTTTTTGTAACTGAGTCAATCTTATTGTTATTGCTGTGTTTAGGCTTTCTATTTCTTCTTGGTTCAATCTTAATAGGTTGTATGTATCTACGAATTTATCAATTTCCTCTAGGTTTTTTTATTTTATTGGCATGTAAATTGCTTACAGTAATCTCTAATTATACTTTTATTTTCTGTGGTGCCCATTGTGATAACTCCTTTTTCATTTGTGATTTGGTTTTTGGGTCTTCCCTTTTTTACTTTGTTAATCTAGCTAATGGTTTGTCCATTTGTTTATCTTTTAAAAAGCTAACTTTTTGTTCTGTGAATCTCTTGTATTTTTTAGTCTCGATTTTATTTATTTCTGCTTTTGATCTTTCTTTCTTTCTACTTATTGTAATTTGGTTTGTTCTTGCTTTTCTAGGTCCTTGCAGTGCATCAGCAGGTTATTTTAAATCTCTCTAGTTTTTACTGTAGTCATTTACTGCTATAAACTTGCCTCTTAATACTTCTTTTTATGTGTCCCATAGAATTGGTATATTGAGTTTCAATTTTCATTTATTTCAACTAATTCTTTAATTGTATTTTTAATTTTTGTCTTCATTCACTGGTCTTTCAGGAACATGTCATTTAATTTCAATGTATTTGTATAATTTATTTATTTGTTTATTTATTTATTTATATTTTGAGATGGAGTCTTGCTCTGTCACCCAGGCTGCAGTGCAGTGGCACAATCTTGGTTCACTACAACCTCTGCCTCCTGGGTTCAAGTGATTCTCCTGTTTCAGCCTCCTGAGTAGCTGGGATTACAGGTGCATGGAGCCACTCTTGGCTGTTTTGTATTTTTAGCAGAGACAGAATTTCACCATGAGCCAGGCTGGTCTCAAACTCCTGACCTCTGGTGATCCACCTGCCTTGGCCTTTCAAAGTGCTAGGATTATAGGCATGAGCCACCATGCCCAGCCTGAAATATGATTCTTTATTAGACTGATACCTTGTAGGTTTTCAAGTGAACCACTAGAGTTCACTCTCCCATATTTGAGTATGTGGGATTTTTTATGTGTCCTATCTCAGTCTTGATAAGTATGCAGGTCTGTTTCATCTAATATTTTGCTTTTTAAATCTTTATTCATAAATAATTGTAGACTCTTAGGAGTTTAGACACAGAGTCTTGTGTACCCTTCTTCCTGCTTCTTCCAATGGGAGTATCTTGTATTGTATATACTGCACTTGTTGTCAGTATTAAAACCAGGAAATTGAGATAAGCCTAATCATTTCATGATTTTTTACATATTTTCATGTATGTATGTATGTGTGTGTTTATTGTTATTTGCCATTTTATCTCGTATAGATTCAGTAACTACCACTACAATCAGAATACAGACTAGTTTCATTTCCTATGCTACCGTTTTTATTCATACCAACTGTCCTTTCTCTGCCTCCTGACAACCACTATTATTTTCTCTATCTCTAGTCTTGCCATTTTAAGAGTGCTATATAAATGAAACCCTATAATATTTAACTTTTGATTTGGGCTTTTTTAATTAGGCATAACGCATTTGAGATCAGTCTGGGTTGTTGAAGGTACTAAGAGTTCATTCCTTTTTTATTACTGAATGAAATTCCATTGTATGGATGTACCACAGCTTGAAACCATCTGCCCTTTGAGGGACATTTAGTTTGCTCCCAGTTATTTGCTACTTTGAATAAAGTTGCCATGGATATCAATGTAGAAGTTTTTGTGTGAACATAAGTTTTTCATTTCTCTTGGATAAATATCAAAAAGTGTGATTTTTGGGATGTATGTTAAGTGTAAATTTAATTTTCTAAAAAACTGCCAAACTGGTCTTCCAGAATGGCTGTACCACTTTATCTGAATGCCAGCAATGTATGAGAGATCCAGTTTCTCTACAAGAGAACACTAATTTTTTTTTAAAAAAATTCAACCTAGACTAGTAAGTTTGTAGTGATATATCATTATGATTTTAATTTGCATTTCCCTAGTGGCAAATTGTGATGTACATCTTTTCGTGTGCTCAATTGTTATTGAAGTCTCTTTTTCATACAGTGTCTGTTCAAATATTTTGCCATTTCCTCATTGTAATGTTTGTTTTCTTATGGTTGTGTGTACAGAATTCTTTAATTTTGAAAATGCAAGACTTTTAATCGGATATGTTATATGCAAATATATTCTATGTTTTAGTAAAGTCTTGTCTTTTTGTCTTTGAGGGTGTTTTATAATGCAGAAGTTCTTAATTTTTCTAAAATTCTACTTATCACTTTCTTCTTTTATTCATCATGTACTTGGTGTCACACACAAGAAATCTTGCCCTAATCGTGTAACAAAGAAGTTTGTTTTCTAAAAATATTATAGGTTTACAATTTATATTTAGATATATAAGCCATTTTTAGTTAGATTGTGTGTAAAATGTGAGATTTAGCTTCAGCTTCACTTTTTTTGCCAATGAATATGTAATTATTCCATCACCATATGTTAAATTACTTTCATTAAATTGATTTTGTAACTTTGTCAAAAATCAGGCATGTTTGTGTAGCTCTATTTCTGAGTTGTCTATGACCATTCCATTGATCTATTTGGCTATCCCTCTGCCAATATCACACTTTCTTGATTTCAGAGTTTGCATAGTAATTCTTAACAACTGGTACAGTGATTCTTCCCTTTTATTCTTCTAAATTTATTTCGATTTAGCTGATATAACAATGATGAAATTTAAAATAACAGTGGAGACAAGCATAGTATAAACTGCTTTCCTGGAAAATCCTCAAAAGTCTGAGAAGTTAGTGGCATCAACTTCATCAAGAAATTGGAATAAGTGAACCACTAAAATAATAATTCTTAAATTGCATGGTAGTAGGCAATTGTCCATCACTCAGGCAAAAATCCATAGTGTATTCTCTGGACTGGAGGCAACAGATAACACTGAGAGAAGAAAAATTAATTTCAAAAGAAATTAATACATTTTGAATGTTGACGCTACCTAACTCTCATTGCCTAACTGGCTTCTAGGATTCTGACAGGTTAAGTCTATACTCTGCAGACATGGAAATGTAAAGAATCTTGTTCTTGCCTATTTGTTTGTTCCTTTAATTTTCATTTCTATAGTGAGATTGTAGATTTCAGTTTCCTTTGACCATGCTGCTGGAATCAGGGTTGGTGCATAAGAATCTGGGCCAATTCAATAAGCACACCATATATTTATTGGAGATTGTTCATATTCTCTGTGCCTTTTTCTATTGAATAATTTTTCTATTACATATTGACTTGTATGAGTTTATTACATATAAAGTTTTACTTTTATATGGGTTTCAAATAAATCTCCTAGTCTACTATTTTGTTTAAGGTGTGTTTAAAAAGTTGTAATTATCTATATTATTTGCTGGTATTTTATGAAAATGGTAATTTTATCGTTTTCTCACTGTTTTTTTTTTTTTTGCTACATTAAACAACCATAACAGTATCTAAAGTAATTTTATATTTGGAAGATGGTTTCTACTTGCTAGATTAGATAAAGGACTGTGTGGTTCACAGACTAGCACTGGTCCTCTTGGGAGGGTCATATAGGAACAAATAACTCTTTGACTATTACTTCTTTTTAAAAAGTCCTGTGTTTTCCTAAGCTACAATTTCCTTTATTTTACCTCTAAGGCTGTGAAAGCTATAACTGCTTGGTCTTTTCAATTCTGCCTCCTCTTCTTTTTTTCTTACCTTTCCATCCCTGTACTACCCAGCTTCTGAATTAAAAGTGTGTAAATCTCTTACCTGAAATCAGATTCAAAGACAGTTTATTTGAAAGAATTTATAATTGATTTTTCTCTCAATTATGTTTTCCCTTGGAAACAATACTATTGATGACTTTTTTTCCCTCACTATTTACTTAACATCTAAGTAGTATTTTTTGGAAATTGTCAAGTTACTTTGGGATGGATTTCCATTGATTCATACTGTTAAAGCTAATTTAAGTATTATTTATTTATTTATTTATTTATTTATTTATTTATTTATTTTGAGATAGGATCTCACTCTGTCACCCAGGCTGGAGTACAGTGAATCAATCACAGCTCACTACACCCTCAAATTCCTGGGCTCAATCAATCCTCCCACCTCCGTCTCCTCAGTAGATGGGGCTACAGGCATGTGCCACCATGCTTGGCTAATTTTCCATTTTTTTTTTTGTAAAGACATTGTCTCTCCATGTTGCCCAAGCTGGTCTTGAACTCCTGGACTCAAGTAATCTGCTACCTTGGCCTCCCAAAGTGTTGGGATTACAGGCATGAGCCACCAAGCCTGGCCTAAGTATAATTTAAAATATATTTTTTTCTACCTAGGAGAGAGATGTATCAACTTACCAGTCTGTATGATCATTACTCTTCATCAGTGATAAATGTTAATACTAATATTGAGGAGAAGGAAGAGGAAGTGACTGAAGCAATAAGGGAAACAAAGTCATCAAAAAATGAATTACATTCTCTTTCAAAAACGGTGAGTTTTTCATATTTAAAAATAAAAAATACTGATTTTTGTTTTGAGTTATAAATAGCAAACTTTTTGTCAATAATTAAATAGCAATTGGCCAATTTTTTAAATATTTAGCCAATTTGCCTATATTAGTTTTCTCTTGCTGCCTAACAAATTACCACAAATTTAGCATCTTGAAACAGCACTCATTTATTATCTCAACCTTTTCCTAAGTCAGAAGTCTGGGCACAGCATGGCTCAAGTGGTTGCTCTGCCCTAGGACTGGCAAGACTAAAATCAGGGTATCAGTAGCCTGGCATTTCTATCTGGAGACTCCAGGATAACACTATTTTTAGTATACAGGTATCAAAATATCAGAATAGACCCCTATAAAGATGTCCAATTATTATGTGTCAATTAAAATAAAAACTGAAGAAAAACTTCAAACAAAAACTTACCCAGTTTTTGTTTTAATTGACACATAATAATTGTATATTTTTATAAGGGGTCTAATGTGATATTTTGATACCTGTATACAATCCGTAATGATCAAATTAGGGTAACATTCAGCATTTCTTTGTGTTGGTAACATTCAAAATCGCCCTCTTCCAGGATTTTGAAAATCCTCATTGAAAATATAGAATGAATTATTATTAACTAGAGTCACTCTACAGTGCTAAAGAACACTAAAACTTACTTGTCTTATTAAGCTATTTTTTATCTCTTATCCAACCTCTGTCTATGCCCCCTACCCCCTACACTTCCTAGTCTCTAGTTATCACTACTCTACTCTCTGCTTCTGTGAGATCAACCTGCTTAGCTTCCATGTATGAAGGAGAACGTATGGTATTCATTTTTCTGTGCTAGGCTTATTTCACTTGACATAATGCCCTCCTGTTCCATCCATGTTGCTGCAAATAACAGGAATTCGTTCCTTTTTATTGCCAAATAGTATTCCATTGTGTATCACATTTTCTTATCTACTCATCCGTTGATGGAAGCAGGTTGATTTCATATCTTAGGTTTTGTGAATAGTGCTGCAATAAATGCAAAGGTGTAGATATCTCTTGGACATACTGATTCCTTTTTCTTTGGATATATAACCAGCAGTGGGATTGTTGGATCATATGTAATTCTTTTTTTAGTGGGTTTTTTTTTTTTTTTTTTGAAGAATCTCCATACTGCTGTGATCTCCACTCCACAGTGGCTGTATTCATTTATAGTCCCACCAACAACGTTTAAGAGTACCTTTTCTCTGCATCTTCAACAGCATTCGTTATTTTTTGTCTTTTTGATACTACCCATTCTAACTGGGGTGTTCAGTTTTGACATGATTTAATTCTTATGGTTTGAGAACTGAAGCCTTTGTTTCCTTGGCAGCTGTCAGCCTGAGATCACACTCAGTTTTCAGAGGCTGCCTGCATTCCCTAGCTATTTGTTCCCTTCTTCTCTAAAACCAGCAGTGGTGTGCTCCTGCTTGGAAGCATCTGACCTTTCATTATGACTCATCTTTTCTGAAGATGAAGCTTTCTTTTCCTGCCATATCTCATTCACTGTTGTATAAGAACATAATAGATAAAATAAATAATAGTATAGTAAAAGGAAATAATATATAAATTATTATGCCAATTTGCATTCCAACCTGGAGTTAAAGACATTCTTCTCTACAATAAGGCTTTTTAATTGTACCTCATTATGGTTTGTTATTAGTTATTAATGGAACTGAACATTTTTAATGATTTTTGTGGGGTGATTTGTATTTCCTTTTCTGTGAAAACCTGCTCATGATTTTCCTGCTATATACTGAGTGTCATCTCACTGATTTGTAAGAATTTATATGTTGTGGATACTAAATATTTTCTAGTTACAAATGTTAAAAATATATTTACCCAAACTTTTTTCATTTCTTTATGGTAACTTCTGATGAAAAGACATCTCAGTTTAATGTAGTATCAGGTATAAATACATTCCTTTGTGCTTTTTCCTTTTGTGAACTTGTTTAAAAAATTGTCCCACTCCTGAGATTATAAAAATATTTTCTGTTATTTCATTCTCAATGTTTCTGAATTCTGCTTTTAATGTTTATGTGATAGTTTTAGATGAAACTATGTTTAGAATGTTTAAAATTGAGGCTTATTTTTCTCACTCTGCCTTCTATTTACAAATTTGGAATTAAAAAGCTATTTCTACAATTTTTGGAATGCATATTTCACTTGCCAGATGTGATGCATAATTAATATGAAATTAATGTATGGGTGTAATGTGAAGTGAGGTTCCAGTTATTTTTTGTATAATACATAAAACAAATTGTTACAATGCAATCTTCTGATGGGTTTTGTTTATATACCTGTAATCAGTGCTATCTCTCTCCCACATTAGGTTTTTATGTTTGTGTGGATCTTTTTTCATTCACTTTTTACTTTGATCTATTTGACCATCTTCACCTGAACACTCCCTGTCAGCATCACTAAAATTCCATAATGGGTGTTAATTATCTGTGATAGTGAATCCTCTGATCTTATATTTTCTTTTGAGTTCTAGGCTTTTCTTGATTCTTGCTCTTCCATATAGGTTTCAGGATTATCCGGTTCATTTCTTTAAAAATTTTTGTTGGAATTATGATTAAAACTGTATCCACTTATGGAATAATTGAGTAAGAACTCTAGTCTTTATGATAGGGACTTCTAAACATACCCATGACCTATCTCTGTTTATTTGAGTTGTTTTCCCAAACTGAACCTTAATCAATGTTCTTGGAACTTTCCAAAAGGAAAACTGTGTCTTTGCAAAATCAGACAGTGATGAGACAAATTAACCCTTCCATCTTCATCTAATGTTAAAGTTATTTTTTAAAATTGATTTGTAATGTGATCCTGATATGTTTATAAAATTGGTCTATATGATAGAAATAATTTAAAATTTATTATGGTTTAATTCATGTTCTAATATATGGGTAATTTGCATAAATATTTCATTTGACAAAAATGTTTTCTCTGATTTGGGGATACAATTCTAAGTAGATTGATTTAGCCATCTGTGTTGGTTATGTTATTTAAATCTTTTATATTTCTGGTTTATTTTCTGACACTTCTATCAATTAGTGTGAGAGATGAATTAAAATATCTCAGGGAGATAGGTTACTTTTCTCATTTTTCCTAATTTTTGCTTTATGAATTTTGAAGCCATAAGTTTAGAATGATTAGAGTTGAGCTTTTTTATTATGCTTTTATTTGCAAGGTTTGAAGTTATGAATTATTAATAAAGTTTGTGGAATGCATATTTCACTTGACAGATGTTAAGCATACTCAATATCTTTAACTTCTTTCTGAACAGTTTAGGGATTTTGTGATCCTCTCCTGACATATATTCAATTTTCCATCATTTTATTAATTTTCTTATCAAGATAATTTATTAATTTACACAATAAATGTTTGTTTATATTTATTCCCAGGTTAATATTTTGCACACAACTCTATCTGTGTGTTAGACTTTCCTAATTAAAATTCCTTTTATCTTTTTTAAAAAAAGTTTTGTTGTTGTTTGTTTTTTTTATTTCTTGGGATAGTAGTCTCATACTGTCACCAGGACTGGAGTGCGGTGATACGATCTCAGCTTGCTGCAACCTCTGTCTCACGGGTTCAAGTGATTCTCCAACCTCAGCCTCCCCAGTAGCTGGGATTACAGGTGTGTGCCATCATGCCCGGCTAATTTTTGTATTTTTAGTAGAGATGGGGTTTCACCATGTTGGCCAGGCTGGTCTCAAACTCCTGACCTCAGGTGATCTACCCACCTCGGCCTTCCAAAGCGCTGGGATTACACGCATGAGCCATCCTGCCCAGCCATTTTTATTATTATTTTTAAACTCTACCTCTTGCAAATAAGATTCAAGATTTGAGATTCTCAAAAATTTTTTAAGTTTTATTTTCATTTATAATGTCTTAATTTTGTTCTCATTCATGCAGTGTGGAGAATATTAACCTGAATTCATATGAGAATGACTTACACTGCTACATAGACAAGAGAGAAGGATCCAGAAATAGACAAGGGTGAAAACACTAAACAAAAACAAAAACAAACAAAAGAACCAACCCACTAAAGCAAAAACACTGGGCTGAAATACTAGAGGAGGAGGAAATGGCATCAATGAGAAGGAAGAACCTGATCTTAAATAGATAGTAGTACAAGTTTCTCTACATTTGCCCTTGTTTCTGTCTCCAGCCTCTTTCTTGCTCCCACTTTCCCTCTGACTCTATACTCTAACCACCTGAAACAACCTCAGGACAACAGAATGTGCCACATATTTTCATTCTTCCAGCTCTTTATAAATACTCTTCCCTCAAAATATAATGTCTGTTTGACTCTGTTCATTCTCTCAATCCTATCATTGTGTAGCTGAATTCTCTTGTTTTAAATCTCAACTTGGAAGGAAGAAAATCCTTGGTGAAACCATCTCTTAACTTTTTTCCTTCTGCTTTGAACTCTAACTACATTCTGCGTTTACCCCTATGCTGGCACTTATAACACTCAGTTGAAATTAATGATTAGTTGTCTACTACTTAGACTATAAGGTTTTTAAGGGCAGGAGATGCATTGTGGCTCTTTCTTTGTCTCTGTGTAATTTGTCTAATGCCTTTCCCATATTAGACAATAAATGCTTGTTGAATAAGTGAGTGAATCAAGGAATAAATGGAAGGAAGAAAGGGAAGGAGGGAGAGGGAAGAAAATGAAGGAAGGGGGGAAGGGAGGGGAGGAGGGAGGGAGGGAGGGAAGTAAAGGTAAGTAGAAGGGTGGGGGGAAATCCTACACCTTGTGAGCCTATAAAGAACTTGGTGACCTGGAGTGTAGAGAGTAGCCATTCACAGAATCTTCGATAATTTAAAACAATGCCTGTAGCTTTCCCAGGGATTACTATAAAAGCACCAAGGAAGTATAGCATAATCAATAAAAGTTTTAAAAATATTACATACTATTGACAAATAGTTGTTACCTCAGTTTAATAATCATGCTGAAATTTGTCTACATCT